TGCACAGAAATCCCATCCTTAATATGCTTTATTAGTCTGATGTTTCAACTTTAATTAAAGAAGAAATTTCAACCTATTGTGAAATTACTCTGGCTTGGTTAAAATGCTGATTTTTAAAGCAGGATTTCTGAGGTGATTGATCTGGTGTTTTTCTCCTGGATAGGCTTTGGAAACAGTCCAGAAAATATTTCTCTATTTGAATATACTTGACTCAGTAAGAACAATGCAGCCTTGTGGTTTTACACCTGCTGGCTGTATATTGAATACCAATGTGGAGAGGGGGTGGGTGCTAGCTTACACTTGCATCATCTTTTCTCATTCACTTTACATGATCTGAATTTTGTTTGTTGAATAATACACAGAACTGCATAAAAATATGAAATCACTATTTCCCAAACATGGATGGTGAGAGCTTTTCCATGAGAGCTTTGTCCAAACACTGCAGTTCCTTTGGCTGCATGTTGCATTTGCAGGCAAAAGCTGTGCTTGACTGGTATTAGTAACTTCCCAACATTTACACAAATTTAGCTGGCAATCAAATCAAAAGCATTTTAAACACTTCTCAAAAGCACAAGACTGCTGAAATCTGGGCTGCCCTGTTTGCCTGAAACTGCATGTTACCTAAATAACAGCATGGATATGTGGAAGAAGTGTAGTATGAGTTTATTTATAATCTACTCAGTAATTGAATTAATATGTTATGACAGTTGTTAAGACAGTTTAAATCTTCCCCATTTTGTGAATCGCAAAGTAAACTCAAAGTTTTTCCTCGAGATCTAAAGAAAAGTGAAAATGTTTAATCAAAAGCATCAGAAAATCTTTTGAGTGTGAAAACAGTATTTCAGTGCTGCTGCCTCTTGTCTTGTATGTGTTTTCAGAGGTTGCAAAACACCTTTCAGGAGCCAAGCACATCAGTTTTACACTCACTGCAGAGCCCTGCAATGTCCTGCCAGCCTTTTTTAGAAGGTGCTTACTCAAAAAAGTAATGTTTAAAGGACTTCTCAGTCTTCTGCAGGGCTTGCTTATTAACAGGAGGTTGGATGGAGAAACATTAGTGCATAGTTGCTTACAAATTATTGTCCTGTTGAAGAAGGGAGGATAGGGAGATGAGAGTTTATTCCTTATCTTTACAGTGATGTTGGAAATAATTAGAGAAGTACTGGAGCTCTGTCGCTGCAAACTGGTGGTGTACTTTTGTGGACACAAAAAGTAGGGTCAGGAAATTCTGAAGTGTTGCTTTGAGTTGTCTTCTCTGCCTTTGGTTTAAAAGAAACCATTGGAGTGGACTGGCTCTAGTGGACAGCTTGAAGGGAGCTTGGAGGGTTGAGTTCATCCAGAATCTCAATTGAAAAGAATTTAGAATGGAGCAGGAATTAGAGAGTTTATACATGTTGTAGTAAAGAACTAGTAATAAAATACTTGCTAGAAGCTGCTTGGAAACATGCTTAGCCATGTTCTAGGAACAAGGGCCTAGAAAAGAACCATACTTTTGCTGTTCTAGTGTCTAACTGATGGGAAAGACTTCAGATTCTTAGTTCCTAACATATGTTTATATAGAATACTATCCTCAAGTTTCAGTGTTCTGTGTGGAATTCGCAGGGAAATTCATAAGGTGTCAGCTGACTCAACTGAAGAAAGCACAGGAAGAAAGGAAGGTAGAGTTGTTATTTTGCAGAAAGTTTCCATTGGGCAAATTTGGGTCATATCTTAGGCCTGTATTGGATTACAACTAAGTTAAATTCTATGCCTTCTGTTTGAATTTCATCAAACTGGACAGCATCTATCCTCACTTCTAGGAGTTTCTTCACAGAAATTGTCCTTGACCTTACTGTGATCCATATCAGTATTTCCTGTGGAAGCGTTTCCTCACCTGAATCCCATTATTGTACCCATCTTTGAGCTGCATGTTGGTTTTGGTGTCTTGGAGTTGCCAGCAGTTCACAAGTTGTCTTGTCAGGGTGAAAGGGCACCTTGCACTCTCTCACTTGAGCACTACATTGTTTTGTTAGTGCCATTGTTTCCTTTTGGGCATAACTTGAAAATGTGTGAGAGACAAAGGGTGATGAAATAAAAACAAACTACTTTCTTGAAGGAATCATAGTGAAGTATGATCATTCTTAAGGACTTAGGCAGAAGCCATGGTAATTTCTTGCAGAAGTTTTCATTTGAAGGAGAAAAACTTCAAAACCTGCAATACCTGGAACTGTGTATGTGCAACAACTAAAAGTGAGAGCAGATGGGTTCCAGGATTAAAATTTTGAATATAAACATGCTGATATTAAAAATGAATGTTGGGAAATCAAGGTATATCCTCATTACAATAGGTGTTGTACTAATGTTAGGTTACAGGAGCACCAATGCTCCTTTTTCTTTGTAATGAATTACACCAGAATGGTGTTTGAGTTGTGCTCAGTGCTTGCTGAAAATTTGTTTTGATTTTTTGATTTTACTGTCACTCAAAATATGGTTTGGATTTGGACAATATGGTATGATGCTGACATTTCAAATCTTCAGCTTTGTTTACATGTGTGAAAACAAGAAAGTGAGAAGAGGATAGACTGTTTAAAGTAGTGCAGATAGTTAATCTGAATTAGGTGTGCAGAGAGGTCAGATTTTCTATTTTTCACTCTTCACATAATATTGTAGTAATGGTGGTAATTTAAAAAAGAAAAAATTCTGAACTGGGGGAGGTGGAATTCTTCTTGAAACAGTAAGTATACACTCAATGCAGTATTATGTGCAAACAGTATATTACAGTCTGTTCAAATAATCTCTAAAATTTCTTATGCTTTGAACTTTGAAGCCTGGAACACTGCTCTTGTTTCACTGCTTTGTGCCCCCTGTAAAATCACATTTGTCAGGAGATTAAGTGAGTATATGCCAGTAGGTTTTTAGTATATTCAATGAAGCTAACTAGACTGTGTAAAGGGAATACCATTTTATATTGTGAGATAAGCAGCAAAACTCAGGGTACTAAGCCCAGGTAAACTGACTTTGGCACCTAATTTTGCTCTGTTAAGGAAAAAAACCCAGGTGCTTCATCTGGTGTACATTTCTGTGGACTGCTAGTTTATTCTGATCAGTGTTTTTTCGTTTCTCATTTATTCAGGATATACGACTCAAATCCTGTGCAACCAAATATATTCCAAGTGGAGCAGCTGGAACGTCTCAAGAGAGAGCTGCCAGAGTTGAAAAGCTGTGTGTCCCCCTCAGTTAGCCACTTCAAATCCATAACTCCATGTAAATGCCATCATTGTTGCATGGAAGAGAAACCTGTAGATAACTTGAAGAGCTTTCAGATGAAGAAGGACTAATTTTAGGCAGAATGCTGTTTTGTATCTATAGAATTTTCACCATTGGAATAGTTCTGTCTATGCTTTCAGGTTGGTTTGGTTTAATTTTAAGTCTTCAAATAGCAATAACTGTGTTCCTCCTTCCTAACAGTACTTAGTAAAATTTCAAGTAATGTTAAAATATTCAGCCAGTTACAGTTATTGTTCCAAATTGCATACACAGTTTTAAGTTTTTCCTCACATCATATCAAGTCTTGAAAAAGAAAATTATTATTATATTATTTTGCTTTTAAAAAAACCAAAAATTAATTAAGTAGTCTCAGTAGTTAAAGCTCAGAAACTAAATTGTAGAGAAATTACAATAATCTGATATTGAATATGCTGAAAATTTGTTTTAATTTTGATTTTACTTACAGGCTGACAAGCTGTAGCATTTATCTGACAGCAGGAAATTGAGTGATTTTAAGATACATATAAGTAGATCTGGCCTATACATGATCTGAACAAATTGGTACCTCATGTATATGTATTTGCACTGGTAGATCCACCTGTACAAAGCTTCGTGCCATTTTATAATATTTTATTTTTTAGCAAACTGGGGCTCGTTTTCCCCCACTTGATTGGAATTGAGGCTGCTGCCTTTGTTTCCTCAGCCCCCAGTTGAGTGGTACAGCAATCAGGGGGGAACCACGAGTACAGGCTGTTCATTAATCACACAGGCCTGCTAAACTTTAAAAATGTTGCTAATAATCATAACAGAATTACAGAAACATCTTCAGTGGTTGAGAATCTTTTTTTGCACAGTAACCTTAATGAACAGAGTGTGTACCCTGCACAAACTCTACAAAATGCATGCTTTATCTATTAAGCATGAATTTTAGGTGTTTGCTGAGGTCCTTGCATCTTTATGGTGCTAGTTATGTGTGAAGGGTGCAAGGACCAATCAACAACTTAATCTCCTTTTCCTGAGAAACCACAAGCCTGTTATTCACAAACATTTGGAGAAGAGGCTCTACCATACATGGTATGTATGTATACCATACATGGTTTGTCTGTCTTACTTATAATGCAAGCTACTGGCTTTTGTATTTTGCAAGATTTTTGGCTTTTACCATGGAGCAAGAATCACAAATGTACTGGATTCAGATAATCAGTATTCTGTTGGCTGGTATCTATCCTCTGTAATTTATTACAAAGTCATAGTTTAGAGTTCTTAATAGATAAGTATGCATGTCCCTTCTCCTCCTGATGTTGCAGGTCATGCCAACACAACAGCTGTAACTTTCTACTGAAATGTTAATGTATAATAAGAATGGAAAATATTTATTTTTTTTCTCTTGTAAATTGACAATGAAAACAATAGTATGTACTATATTCTTTATATACAGTCATTGCTACATATAGAACTGATTGTACAAAGAGTAAAGCCATTGCAAATAAGTGCTTGAACCTGCACTGCTGAGCAGTTCAAAACAGCTTGTTTTGACTTGTGCATTTTAGTATTTAAAGTTTGTCCTGCACAACAGCACAATAGTATTAGGTATCTGGAAGCCTTCTTTTATTAAAAAAAACCAAAAAACAAACAAAACCACAAAACATCCCTAAACCAAAACTGGAAGTGTGTGAGCTGTTTTTGAGGAGGGGAGGGGGCACTGAACCAGAATCTTGGCATCAGGAACCTGTGGCTGTTACTTCATACATTCCTCATTATGTGATTAATTCTTAAATTTCTTAATTTTTTTTCCTCCTTTGTGTACCCTGTGGGATCCTCTTGGCAGGTCTTGGAGGGCTTTGCCAACTGTTACTCAGCTCCTAGCAGAGTTTGTGTCACTGCTTGTGAGAGCTGGGCAGCACATCCTCAGAGATGCTGAGACACCTGTTCTGTGCAAAAGGGGTTTAGAAGCTGTGCTGTGTGAAGCACCCTCTCAGACTAATCCCAGTGAGATGCTCAGGCACCCTTAAAATCTTCTTTCCCAGCCTTCAGTGCTCAGGGAATTGCACTTCCCAGTTCTGTTTGAGGGGAGTGGGGGTGGAAATAAATCCACCTCTCAGGTTTCTGTGGTTGAAGTGACCCCTGAGGTATAGAAAGTCTTTTTTCCCAGCCTCAAGACAGAAGAAGGAGTTGAGATTCCTCAGTTCTGCTTTTCAAGGTTGTTTATTTTCTCTTATCTATTGCATTCCTTCTCTGACCTGCTGAGATCTGTCCAGCAGGTCAGGTTGCAGCACAGCGCCTGCCCTTTGGGTGACGTTAACTTTTTATACTAAGAACTGCATGTACTTTATTTGCAATAATCTTCCAATACCTGTCACCTATGTTAGACTGTCTCTATTCTAAACCAATCAAAAAGTGTCACCATCACAGCAGAAGATGGAGGACAACAAGAAGAAGAAGGACAGGACACACCCCGATTCCTCCATCTGGCCTCTCGAACCTCCATTCTAAACCCCCAAAATTCTACTTTTCCACCATGTGACAAATTAACTATCATTCTACACAAACTCTTGTGGCTTGTAAATCTTCACAGAGAGTTGGTAATTTTTTCCATGGCCTAAAATCGAAGGTACAGGTGTTTTTGACTCCGTGCCAAGGTCTCTGAGCCCCTTGCCAAGGTCTCGAGTCCTGCAGGGCAGCCAGAGGAATGTCCTGGGTTTCAACATCCATTGCACTGTAATGATTTTACAGGACAGTTTTGAGCAGTGTTAGTGTTGGTGTTTTCTTGCTGATTCCTTTTTTTCTGAGTAAGTTGTGTCAGCAGCTTCCTCCAAACCTGAGGAGCTTCAAGAGCTCTGCTGCTGTGCCAGTTCTTGGAGCTGAGCTCAAGCTTGGGCACGCTGAGCAGCTGTCACTCAGCCACTGGCAGTGCAGAGGGGATAGAAGGAACCAAAGAGCAGGAATTTGGGATCTGGCAGGGGAAAGTGCCCCCTCCTGCTCTGGAGTGCTTGTTGGAAACCAGCATGGTCCAGGGCAGAGATGGCTTTGCTCCAGCCAAGGGACTGCTACAGAATTTTAATCCCGAGATGTGGGAGCTGTAGTAGGGGAGAGCTGTAGGGAGTGTAGTAGGAAGCTGTAGTAGGGGAGACAGAATTTCTCTCTTGATTTTTGGAACATTTCTTTCTGGCCCACCCAAAGCCTGGGCTCTGCATCTATAGTATTGGTTGCTGAATGACACTCCCCCTTGATGCCTGTACTTGGGTGTGTGCACATATATATACTTATATATGTTTGTGTGTATGTAGCTGGATAGTGTGGGAGCTGGTCATGACAGAGCTGGTGTGTTACGATATGCAGTTGGATGCTACCTCCAAAATTTCTCCAAATAATTGGGCCTTCATGTATTTTCAGTCACACAGATCTTGTACTTTAACTGTAAACCTGCAGCAAAGTCTTGGTCACAACAGCTGCCAGCTGAGGAAACACTTGCTGACTCCACATTTGTCTCACACCTCTGGAATTGCACCCCACATCCTGGAGTTTGCACTTTCCTTCTCAGTTGCATCCATCATATCAATCTCCCAGAGCCCAGCTTTGACCCTTTAAACAGCCAGTGACTGCTTCCATACAGTTCTTGGGGAAAAAAGCCAGCCCTGGCCTTCCCCTTCCTCTTGCAGCCTGAAAACTGCACCACATGCAGGTCTTTGCTCTTCCTGTGTGCCCTCAGATTTTCTTACAGAATCTATGTCCAAAATTGAAAAAAACTCCAGTAGCTGCTCCCTCAGAGAAGGTCCTGGAAGAAAGAGCCAGTGCTGGACTGTACCTTTCTTTTGTAACCTCTAAACTGCACTGAGGTGATTCACTTTGCCTTCTTCAGGATCCAAACATGAAGCCCTCCCCTACTTGCTCCCACTAACAGTGCCAGGACAAAAAAGATGTTGGCTTTTACCTTCCCACTGTCACCTGTGTATTTCTGGACAATTAAATGTCATGTGGTACTGCCTCAGAAACCCAAAGGGCAGATCTGAAGCCAAAAGTGTCTGGACCCTACTGGCAAAATGTGCCTGGACAAAAAGAAATAAATTTATTTTGGAAGGCAAGCAGCTCTCCCTGGTGTTCCTGGTGCTGATAAGAGGTTCCCCAGGGGAGGTGAAGGCCAGCACCTGCTTTCTTTCATGGCATTTCCAGTGTGGGAGCAATCCCCTCCCAGGAGCCCTGCACCAAAATTTGAGTGCTCCCTCCAGTGTTGAATGCATCCACCAGGGACTGCTCTAACACAGAAGTTCTCTCCAAGGAGCTGCTGCTGCTTTGTACCTCCCTGGGGCAGCACCTCCTGCACCACCAACGATGGGGTGAGGTGCTGTCCTCAGCAGATAAAGGCATCCTCATCCTCTTTCTGAAGCTCACCTGCAGTATTTGGATACCAGCTCCAAAACTGTGTGTGTCCAGGGATCTCTTTCAGAGAAGCCTTTCCAGAACAGAAAGCTCAGTGGTTTATGCCTCCCTAGGGAACCCTGTAATGTCATCCTTTTCTTTCAGGTGGCCAGCAGCTGACAAGGACAAGGATGAATAAATGACTGCTTTATTTAAATTGACAATGATTAGATGAAAATGTAAAAAGAGAAAAATGCAAAATGGTAAAACTTTGATCTGATCAGAGTTATTTACTACACAGTTAAGCTGCTGATACAGTGCTCTATTTATTGCACCAATAACATAGTCAGTTTAATAACTATCAAATAGAGGTTGATGTTACTCACCCGTGGGCAAGTCTCTCAGCCTCCAGGGCCGTCCCTGAGGGGTGTTCTTACCCAAGGGAATGATCTTCATGCATCTCAAGGAGATATGCTGGGAAAACTGGGACTGATCTTTTGTAGTATGAAGAGGTTGATTGTCCTGCAACTTTTAGATTCTGTGTTGTCCTCAGCAGAACATGTTTGAGTCAGATGTTACCAGCTCTTTGGTTTCTGCTCAGAACTTCCATCTCACTTCCCTACGAGGCTCTTCCACATCCCTGTTGATGCCCACCTCAGTCAGGAGGAGCACCCTCATGAGGGACCTAATTTAAGAGAGTTTGGTCAAGTTGGTCTCAGCATTCTTCACCACTGAACCCAGTGTTCTACTAAACTCTCTGGTTTTTAATCCATCACCAAAAATTTGTAAATAAGACAAAGAAGGAGTTCTTTAGAGCTGTCCCAGTCCTTCCAAATGGAACAGCTCCAGTGCCCCTGCCCCTCATAATGCAATTGCTTGTTCCTCACAGCAGTCCTGTGCTCCCAGGAACAGGAGAGCTTCATCTCCATCCCTCACAGAGAGAGTGAGACCTCTCTGGAGCTGTGTCTGTGTCTGTAGCTCCAATGCCTACATTCCTACTGCTTCTAGCTCTCCCTCTTTGCTGACTGGTTTCTAGGTCTGCCTCATATCCAAGGTTTCATCCATTACATGTAGCTCTGTAGCCTTACGGCAAATGGAATCTCACTGGAAAAGTGGAAAATCAGGTGGATGCAGCAAAAACAATCTCCCACCTCTGAAGAAGTCATGAGGCTCAGTATGGACTCTGCATTTAATTGAGAAGAGGCCTCCAGAAGAAAAAGAAGGATGGCATTTTATCTATTTAGATGTTTTTGCTTCAATTGACTGGAAATAATAGAGCTCAAGGTCTGGGGAAGAGGCATCCATCCCACCCCTTCACTGTCCCACCAGCTCTGCCATATAACCCTGCCCCTCACTTAATCTGCTTATTAAAAACATTTCCCCAATCTTTCCAACGTTGCAGCCTCCTCCACTCATCTGCCTCACTGCTTTCTCCAAGGGACAGGTTTTGCCCTGCCTTCCTTTCTCAAAGTCATTTCTCTGCACTTTTTGGCCTCAGCTTCTGGAGTTCTGTGGTTTTTGCTGTGTGCACAAGTGTGTTTAAGAGGAGTAAATATCCCATATGAAGAAGAAGGGGAATGACTTGCTCCCATGGACTACAGACAAAAAGGTAAAATTTAAAAAGTGAAACTGCCTGGGAAGTCTCATCATTTTAGGTCATTTGTGTTACCTTGGCATTTCCAATATCCTTCAGAGATGGTGGAGGTGGTTTTCCCTGCAGTTTGATTGCCCTCAACCCTGGATGTCTGTGGGACATTTCTAGGCCCACTGTTTGTCCCCTGTCACATCCTGGCCTGTCTTGGCCACCAGCCACCCTCGTGTCCTCTGCTGTGACCACCTCAGGTGTGCGGGGCCACACTGGCTCACTGTGCAAATCCAAGGGGACTCGAGGCTGTGCAGGTGGATGGGCACAGGTGTCCCCTGCTGCCCTCAGCTGTCACCCAGTGCCACTGGGCCCTGCCCAGGAACCTGCCTGGCACGCTCGGGTGCGGGGACAGCCGAACTCTGCTGCCAGCACCCCAGGGCTGCCCCTGCATCTCCCGAACACCTCCCATGTGACTCCAGGTCACAGGGTTTGGCCACACCTGTGCCACTCACAGCTGTCTTCATCTGTCAGCAGGAAGAAGGAAGGAAAGGAACCAGGGCAGGAAGGGGAGGAAAGAGGAGGAAACGAGAGCAGGAAGGGCAGGAAAGGAGGGAGAGAGAGAGGGAGAGGTGAGGAGGCTGCATTCAGCAGTGAGGAGCAGAGTGGCCGATAAGCACCGTACCTGAGGCTTCCAATGTCTTCCTCAACTTCCACCAGCACTTTGCCCAGCGGCCTGGCCGTCCTGACGACCTTCCCAGATGTGCTCTTCATCCCTGAAATCGTGAGTGCTGCCTTGTCCCTGGGGGAGGGCCGTGGCTGCTGCTTGGGCACTCAGCACAGGTTGTGCTGCAGGTGTTCGAGGGGTGACACTTGTCCCCAAACACGTGGCTCAGGACCCGCTCCAGGTCCCTGAGCCACAGGGGGCTGGAGGGCATCTCATCCTCGGAGAAAACCACAGGCTCTGAAGCTCTCCTTTAGTCTGCAGTGGGATTTTTCTGGAGCCTTTGAAAAACGTTTTAATTTCCTGCCTGAAAAAACAGCAGGGGCTGCCGGTGGGTTTAAGTAGGCGCCAAATGGAGCTGGTTAATGAGCGGAGGCGATTTTAGCGGATAGCACAGGCGGAGGGTGAGCTGCTCGCTTGGAGCAGGGGATTAGGGAGCGGAGAGAATTGTTGGCAGCAGCCGAGGCTGCGCTGCTCCATGGCGGCATTCCTGAGCCGCAGGTACAGAGCTGCTGGACCCTGGCCATGTGGGAGAGCAAAGGGTGAGCAAACACCTTGTAATCTCTTTCCACACTGTAACTTCATTGAGCAGGAGATCATAATCTTAACGGACTTGGCGTACGTGGTTAAGAGATATTGCTCTGAGCATAGGTTATTGGATACAAAGTCTCAGCCTGAACTTTTCATCCTGTCCTCTGCCCCACGCATGAAACGTGCTCTTCTCACAAGAGCTTGGGAGGCTTTTTTCCAAATTCCCAGCACTTTGGTCCAGCTTTGAAAGCTCTGGCTGAGTATTGTAGGATGGCATTTAGATTATTTCATGCTAAAAAGTTCAGTTTTGCCATCTGGCACCAAATCCTTTCCTGTCACCCAGCCTGCCCCCCACTCCTGGGATTTACAGAGTTTCCTTCATTCCCTTGGTGATAACAATGTAGCAAAGAGGATGTAGACCTGATCTCTGCCCAAGAGCAATGCCGAGGTATCCTGCAGCTACAGGAGGGAGGAGGTTGAGTGCCTGTGGAGATTTTGGCTGGGCTGACACTTGCCAGCCACCCCTGCCCCTAAGTTATGTTGGTCCTGTTGGCCTCAGAGAGCTCATTCCCCTTGAACTGTTTCTTTGCAATCCCTGTCTCCAGGGGATTTGGCAGGGCAGCTTGCTGAAGTGAGCACCCTTTCCTTTGGTTTGGGTAAGGTCTGGAAATGTGCATCCTGAAGGCCCAGGAACCACCCAGGAAGGAGGAATGCTGCATGACTGGATTTCTCCATCTCTAGGCAGATTCTGGGCTGTGCAGCTGTGTGACCTCTGCTGTGTACAAAGGAGGTGGCTGCTTTGAATCAGAGGGATAAAGAGTTTCTCATTCCTTAGTGGAATCTCAGGTTGCCTACCTTGGGCTGAGATGGTAACATAACAAAACAAAACAAAATTGGCATTTTAAATGCTAAGATGGTTGTGAAATTTTCAGAAGATCCTACCTGCAGCTCAGATGATTGCCACATTTGCATGGGCTGATCAAAAGCTACCATTTTTAATCCGAGAGGCTCAGTTTAATTCTTGTAATCTATTTAATTTGAAGAACTTTCTGCACATATGGCTACCCAGACCTATGTGGAAAACCTGAAACAAGCTGAAAGCAGATACGTTTGCTTTGTAAAAGCTATTTAAAGGACAAATTTTTTCCTTAAACTGCTGTCCATATCCTGCTGTGAGTTATTGAAAGCCTCTCAATCCTTCCTTCCTTTTTATGAATCTTCACCATAAAACCAAAGTCAATAATCAAACCAGGTCAAACAGACATTTCTGAGTGGGTAAGCACAGCCTGCAGAAAGGAGAGATGGTGAGTGGTAGGAAGTGAGCTGTGGTGCTTCTTTCCCCAACCTCGTATCTCACCATAATTTATGCTTGATTTTAATGGAGCATAACGCTTTTCCTCAGGATTTTTAGCTGCAACACACTCATTGTGTCAGCCCATGAGTGATTAAAAGGACTGGATTAGTGTTCAAGGCTCAGCCTTTGGTTGTTACAAGAGGGACCACAAGAGCAGCACTTTGGAAGACCCATTTTCACTCAGGTCTTTGCCACATCTCAACCACATAATTGATGTAATGTGTCAATTTGCACAATGGCACCAACAAACTTTCCTTCTACTGTGGGGTGACACAAATGATGTAATATTTTCTGTGTAACCATAAATCAGAGACTTTCTTTCCACTTGCAAAATGATTGGAAGGAAATGGAAATGGAAATGAGTATGAGCTGGCACTTGGATGCTGGCTGGGATTCACTGGCCATACAAGGATCAGAATGACCTTAGAGTCAGCAAGGCTCTCCTATCTGCCTGAATCCCAGACTGGCTGGTGGTGAGGGATAGGTCCCCATAACAGCACTGATCCACAGAGTGTGGGCTCAGCTGTGGAGCTCCTCATCACAGGATGCTGCACAGACTGAACTCTGCACAGGTCCGAGGAATAACTGGGTTGATTTTGTGGCACAGAAAAGCTAGTGAGGGCATTTCAGTGCAAGGCACCACTTGCACTCCAGACATTCCACAACACTGAACATAATGCTCCCATCCTCTTGTGCAGGAATCTGCTGGTGAAGGGATGGAGCCCAGACATAGCTGTCCCTGTGCACCACCCATGGCAAAACCCATGGCAAACTCCCAAGGCTGGCTGAGAAGGTCCCACCCGCTCCCACACCAGCAGCTGGGACCAGGCACAGCTCTGATGTAGCCAATGAAGGATGACCCAAAAAGCTGGAGCACCAATACAAACTTCCTTTCCCAAGAAGGATCTGAGAGCCTCAGGCTCTTTTCCCCTACCCAGGGAGTCAAACCTCTCCTCAGCCTGTTCTCTCCTTTCAGAGTGATATTTGTATGTGACCCTCGTGAGGGTAGGTGTCTGTGCTGCTTGTGACACTGCTCCTGGCAGGGATCTGACACACTGGGTGTGAGGCAAACACACCTCTCCTAAATCAGCCTCCCTGTTCATTAAAGCCAGCCCTCAGAAAGGTCTGAGCCAGCCTCCTAAGCACACTGGTGTAGGGAGGGTGTGAGTTGTAGTGGCACCAGTGAGGAATTTTTTGGTCAGGATCAGTGGCAGATACTCCCAGCTAAATGCTCGTTTTTGAGTGGAGGCTGGGAAGAACTCATGGGCTGCTGCCATGTGCAGTGCCAGAGACGTGAGTGGCTTATGGCTCTGCTCTGGACAAGTCACTTTATCCCACACTCACCCTGTCCCCCACTTTGACTTGCAGATCTTTGGGGGCCTTGTGTGGATCCTGGTGGCATCCTCGAAGGTCCTAGAACCCATGCTGCAGGGCTGGGTGATGTTTGTCTCCGTGTTCTGCTTCGTCATGTCCATCTCCCTCCTGTGCCTCTACATCTGCGGGGCTCACGGCGGCGGCGGCAGCTGCTGGGTCACCTTGGTACGTGCCTGTGACAAACCCTAGGGGTGGCTTTGTCACCAGCAGGGTGCTGCTGCTGCTCCCCATACTGCAGCCTGGGGATGGTTGTAGGGGCAGTGTGACTCCCTTGGAGGTGACAGTGTGATCCTTGTTCCTTAGGATGCCATCTGCCACAGCACGGCAGCGCTGTTCTACCTCAGCGCCGCCGTGCTGGAAGCCTTCATAACCTATGTGCTTGGCATCTCCATGTACCTGTCAAAGGAGTACAGAGAGAACATTGCTGCTGTGGTGAGTGCCTGGCAGGAGGGCAGGGAATGGCAGCAGGTCGCTCTGGAGTGGTCTCAAGTGCAAATCTGTATTTGCACCAACAGTCTGGGGAGGGGAGAGAGAAACCAGTTGCCGTCTCAGCATGCATGGGTGTCCCCAGACATGTGGCACGTCACAAGGAGTGGGCTCAGTGCTGGGGTGGCACCGTGCCCCAGAACACTGATGGGCTGCTGTGTTTTTCCATCCCAGGTCTTTGCATTCGTGGCCACCCTGCTGTATGTGATCCACAATGTGTTCTCGCTCCTGCGGTGGAAATCGTCCTGAAAGCCTGAACAGCCCCAGGAACAACAGCTGCCCTCTCCAGGCTGGGTTTGGGGTTTGTTTTCTAATGTATAGCCTAGAAACAAGCAGCTTTTTATGTGGGATCTTGGTGATGAAGACAAGGGGCCTGCCAGAGAAAGGAATATCTTGGCACAATCTGTTTCCCTTCAATATCTTCCAGGCTGGGTACAGTTTGATGCTGGGGCCAAAAAAAAAAAAAAAAAAAAAGCCATCCAGCTTATCCAGCTTTAAAAGAACATAGTATAATTGGGTTCAAAGGGCTAAAATATCCCTGGACTTCACCTTTATGTGTCCAGAGTTGTTACTGGTATCAGGGGAAAAGTGAACAACAAACACCAAGGAGCACAAGTGTGAAACTGTCATTTTAATTGTTGTGTGCCCATTTAAGTGTGTTTCCCCCCCTAAAACCGCTGTGCAAATTAATATTTTCATGCAGTTTCTGAAAATGCCTTCTCTGACTTGCAATGAACAATGGGAACAATATTTAACTCAGCTCAGGAGCAATGTGGATCACTGCAGCTCCTGAAGGCTGCTGCTGAATTCTGAGGTACAACTGTAAGTCCAGGAATTACCACTGCCCTTGATCCCACCCCTACAAAGCACAACCTGGAAGGGGCTCAGTGGGCTGTAGGAGAATTCTCTGGGTGATCAGGATCAAATCCTTAGTAAGCAGAGGCAATCAACTCCTGCATTTGGTGAATGGCTACTCTCTCACACACTGCCACGGTGTCACTAATAAAGATGGGTTTGCTGTGATTTTGAGAATGGGTGAGTCCTTGCTGCTCTTTTTCCCTTTGCTGCACCCTGACAGGGCAGTGCCACCATGGGGGCTGAGTGAGTGGCTGGGTGGAGCTCAATTGCCAGCTGGGGTTAAACCTTGACAATTAATTAATTGAAATAGGGTTTAGGCCCAGGAAGGGATGTTTTCAACCTGTTAGAGGTGCCTAAAAACCAGTAGTGCTAAATTATCTCTTCCAGCTTGTGGGGCAAAGAATGCTTCCATTTTAAGTCTAAAGTTCCTGGATAACACTGAGGACTTGAGGACAAGAGAGAAATAAAAGTTGAGTTGGAGGCTCCTCTGTTGCTTCATATCCAGGGAAACTTTTGACCTGTGACCATGGGTTTGGTTTGAAGCTTTTTAATTGCAAACTAAGGAAAACATTTGTGGAGATTTTTTTCCTCGCTGAAAACCAGCCTGACTTGTTTTGCTTGTGTTACTGTGACTACAGGGAACTGGTTGCAACAGAGATGGAAAGAGAAATCCCTTTTCAGAGCAGGGAGGGAACTCAAAGCCACTTTGGACAATGGCACATGGCTCTGAAGTTCAACATCCCCCTGTTGAAACTGGTTTCACCATCCCATCATCACGGGGTGTGTGTGGGGGTGTTGGTGCCCAGGTTCTATGAACGCCCCTGAATGTGACAAGGGAACACAAAGATGCCTTTCTGCTTGGATGGGTTTACAAAGGCAGGGATCTGCAGCCCTACCCTGGGCCTTGGGATGAGCTGTCTCTGTTCCACCTGTGCCCAGGTCCCTGCACCCAGCAGTGCTGCCTGTCCCCTCACCTCCCTGTCCCCGTGCCTTGCGGCCATCCCATTTGCAGCCCACGGCTTGGCATGGCCCCAGTCTCCTTCCTTCTGCTTTGCTTTGCCCTTTGCTTTCCCCTTGCCCTGCACACACCAGTTCACACCAGTCTGCACCAGTCCTCCTCCATGTCCCTCTGTCCCACCCTGTTTGCTGAGTGCCTCCCCGACAGCATCAGCCCAGCCTTGCTGGGAGCCAGCAGTGGGGAAAAGCAGCCAGGTGCTGCTGGCATGGCAGTGTCCATCGGCTGGAGGGACACTGAGGGAGGCTCTGTGGCCCAGTGTCACCTGGGGAGGCCTGGGCATATGGAAGGGACTCCCCCTGCCACCACTCACAGAAATTGGAGCTGGAACTTTGATACCCTCCTGGTGTGACCCCAAGTTCAACCCCGGGCAGCTGAGCAGGGGGAAGGGGGAGCCCTGCTTGGCACAGGCTGCAGGGCCCCAGCACAGGACAGTGACACTGGGAGGGGTGGCTGCTGAATTGCAGCAACGTGCTCCTTCCCTGCACAGTGGAAAGAGGAGAAAATGACACAAAAGAGGTTAATCATATCCAGCTTTCCTGTCACCTCAACACAGCCCGAAAGACTGCCATCTGTGCCTTGGAAGCTGGGCAGCCCAAGGGAGCTGTCTGGAAAATGGCTCACCCCCAGCACTTCCTGAAGGAAAAGATGCACCCCAGAGCTCTCCCAGGACCTCCAGACCACATCTGCAGCACATCTCTTCCCCACAGAGAGCCCTGAGGGCAGCACTGACCCCAGAATTTGCTGACGCTCTGCTGGAAACACGGGGCATGATGGACACTGCAGGCTAGCAAGCCTTTTCCTTTGGGGACACTTCCATGGGGCAATGGCACTCTGGTAGGGCTCCCCAGGATGTGGAAAGGCTGGCCCTGCACTTTGTTCAACACAGACACTTCAGTCCCTGCCTGCAGAGCTGGCCTGGCCCAAAATCCCACACCCTGCACTTGATCAGGAATTCCCAGATCCCCCCAGACTGGTATCCCTCCATTGCTGGGATTCCCTTGCAGATGTAACTGCCAGATGGAGCAGCCCATTTAAAAAGCCACAAATCAGGCTTTTTTTCAGAGCATTTACAAGTGCCATTCACACTGTTGAAACACTGGGCCTATTGTGCCCCTGCAGCCACACCAGGTTTCATCTGGTTGTGTAAGTGGAATCCTCATCTCTGCTCTTCTCCAGCTCCCTCAGCAGGACAAGGAGGTCTGCAGGCACCTGCTCTGGAGAACAGGCAATTACATGCTAGTTAAACCAATCTATGCACCTGCAGGCAGGCAAAGCCTCAGTTCCTATTAAAAACAAGATTGCAGACATATTCATTAACTATGCCCAGATTGTAATCTTGGTTGCTCTTGCTTAACTAAGTGGTTTAACCACCCTGTTAACTATTCTCCAAATATTTGCATACTGGATACCTTGCCTCCAGCAATGCAATGAGTTAGGAGAACCTCCATCTTCTTCTGAATTGCAGGAGAAGAATTTGATTTTTAATAGAAAATTATGACCAGCTCCATGGAAAATGCAGGAGTTTCTCATTTTACAGCCAGCTTTGTCTGTGAGCAATGAGCAATCTGTGTGCTGGGTAAAACATCTACACAAGCCCCTGTGTTAATATGAACAAACCTGTGGGAACAGTAAAGCCACATAAGATGAATTTAATGTAGGGACCTAAGCTCAACAGCAGAGATGCCAGCTGAAGGAGAGCACACATTCCCCAACAACAGCTTGATGTGCTAGGACAAGAAACTTTGCAACCTGACACCTGGAAATCCCTATTGAAAGTATATTTCGACTGAGGTATTAAAGGTATTTTTTTTCCTGGTAAACAGGGAAAAAACCTTCATCCCACTGCGCAGCAGGCATGGCCTTGGAAACAGAATTTTTATTGCAAGAGTGAGATAAAACTCAACTAAATCCACCCTACCTGTCTGTATATACACAACTGCTGTCTTTAGAAACCTGCACTGAAATCAGTGTAAAACATTACTCCTAAATGTCTTTAAAATCAGAACTCCAAATGTAAATTCCCAGGCTGGTCTTGAAGGATTTCTAAGGTATTTTCTCCCATACTAACAAAAGAGGTGGCCCAAGCATCTTTTGGCATTTGGAGAAATGCCATGACAGGCACTCAGAGACTGGGAGGCACAGAACTGAGCTCCTGAGCCTGGGCAGTGGGACACAGGCTGCACATGAGCCCCCACTGCTGCTGCTTGCTTCAGCATCTCCCAGACACCAGCATGTAGCAACAACAACAACAAAAAAGACCCAAACAAACCCAAACTAAACCCACTTTGATGATTCTTTATTGCTTTCACAATCTTGTATTTTCAACAGTTTCCCAAGACCTTGTGAAAGAAACATGGACAAACCATCTCTGGAGTGGAGTAAATGCATGCTTGAAGCCCAAGACTCGTTCTCTGACTGCTTCCATCTGAACTTTCCCACCTGGACAGGCTCAGGGGAATTGTGGGAAAGCAAACAGTGCTCCTGGATGGCAGCAGACGTGGATGGCACGAGAGAGCTCCTGCTGCCCTCCCTGGAACTCAAACCCAGACAGCCTTGTCTTGAGCCAGGCTTTCCCAGCTGCTCTGAGCTGGAGACACCACGGCGGGCCCGGAGCTGTCAGCACGCCGCCCGTCTGACACCGGCCCAGGGGGATTTCAGCATTCCCTGGGCTTCCTTCACCTCCCTCCACTCCAGCTTTGTGTTGGGAACCTCATCCTCAGGCTCGGGCTCCTCACGGACAGGCCCCTGGGGCAGGGCCACCACGATGGGCAGGGGGCCCTGCTCCTCCCGGAACTCCACCACGTAGAGGCTCTTCTGGTCTGCCAGCTGCTGGTGAGTCTCCTGGCAGCAGGACAGGGAAAGGACAACCAAAACCAGGATGAAAACTGTGAGGCTTTACTTCAGGCCAAAACCTACACAGGATGTGGGGCAGGGGAAAAAGGCCCCAAAAAGTCATTTCCTAATAAACAGTTAGAGCACTGTGTAAATGAAATGCCTTGTCAGGTTTATCTTACAGGGCAACAATTCAGATAGCCAGACCTCAGGTACACTGATCAGCCCTGCAGTGTCATCCCAGAGGAACCTGCTTCTGGAAAGACATACCCTGCTCATAAACATGCCTGTTGGCAGGAACACCTTTATGTCTTTATGTGGATATAAATTTTGCTTTGGTAACAGAAAAGTGCCTGTTACTGCCCAGACAGGTGGCATTAACTAACATAAAGGTACACTCATAAAGATATGAATGTAACATTATTTTCAATTACACCTGTCCCTTGCCTACAAGGTGTTTTGATCTCATTCAGATTTTACAGAGTAAATGTTTACAGGTGACAGGAAAGTTTTCCTTCTCAGGGCAGTGAAGAAAACATATAAAGTGCATAACTCCAAAAGTAGTAATTTATACAGCAAACCTTTCTTCTGTTTGTTCTGTGGAAGATTCTCAGAGACATTAATTAAAAATACAATGCCAGACTTCCCCAAGTGTGACTGCCCTGAGGTATTGCTAAGCTGGGAGATCTGTGACTCCCAGCAGGCAAAGAGGATCACAACCCCCTCACCTCCTGAGGCTGAACTGATGACATTGGCCAGGACAGGGTGACAGAATTGACAGCTACAGCTCTCAGGGCTGTATTGGGAATGGAAGCAGCTAAATCTTGGCAGCCACCAAAACTGCAAACAAGGGAGATAACCACGAATTTCCAGAGGGCTGACTCATCCTGAGGCTGCTGTTCAAAGGATATAATGCTGCGTGTTGGAGCTTCTCCATCAATTCCAGGCAGCTGGCTCAGACAGAGACATCTCCACTGTGAGCACTCAGAGGTGGAGGGAACACCACCACCTCCCTGGCTGAATTCAGAGATCCCAATTACAGCAGCAATAGAAGCAGCTGGGGCTTCAGTCCTTGCTCAATGAGAACTTGGAGCACAAACAAGCAGCAGCAACCACACCTGGCCCACAATTGTCTCTGCCCAGGATTTTTCAGTAGTCACCAAATCCCCACCAAATGAAAGCTCAGGAATTCAGATGTCCCCTGCAGACACCTGGCTGTGGAACAGGCAGAGTTACACACAGCTCTTCCTGACTGGACAACTCAATAAAACTGCTGAGGAATGACCCCCTTTGCTGATTTTGTTTGTAAGATCAC